TTTTTTCAGTACTGGGGATTGAACTCAGGACCCTGGGCTTGTTAAGCAGGCACTTATTCTACTGAGCTTTCTCCCTGTCCTGTAAGCCCCCTTTACACTTAATGCATTTCTGTGTAGAGAAATTATGTTACCTTAATCTGCTTAGCTGGGCTTGTTGTGTCTTTGTCAGAGTAGAAGACCTTTTCCTGGGCACACTTTTCAAATTGCTCTTTTAAAGACTTAGTTGAAACTTTAGGTATCTCTTCATCATCAGGTGTGTCAATGACTACAAACAGAAGAGGACACCAGGGATATTATATAATGAATCAAAATTCTGCTTTAGTTGAATTATCATGTCATGGGAAATTTCCCACAATACAGAGAAAAATAGTCAAGACACAAGCTTATCCTTATGGAATCATTTCATCGTATAATTTAGGAATGCAGCAAGAAGTATGGGAAGAAAACTGAATGCTTCTCTCTAGATGGAAATATTTTCTAAATTTTCCACAAGCACATCTTATTTCTGTGCTCAGGGAAACATAATAAAAGTTATAAAACAAAAACCCCCAAAAGAATCAAAGAAGGCCTACTTTCTTAAGCAATAAAGAATAAAATGAAGGCATAGTAGTGGCGCTCAAGTAACGTTTTGGCTAGAGATGGATTAAATCTTCATGGCAGCAGACCTTTTTCTCTTTTTATAAGCAAGATAACTGTGCTTTGTTTTATAAAATACAGAAATTTTCTCACAACTAATCTATCTGTAGGTTGGAGAGTTAAAAACTCATGCCTAAATCTATTATTAAAGCAAATTAATATAATCTGTTCTCAGAGAGATTAATAAACATCAAATTTTGTATTAGTTCCCTGAGGCAGAAAAAAATGCAGAACTGAATCCTTGCCATGTTGGAGGCTTTAGGATGAACAGATGATAGTCTAGTGGGCAGTGGGCTATTTTAGAAAGGTGCTGCACCCAATTGCCACGAGAAAAATCTACTTGTATGTAGAAACACAAGCCTTCCTCATTAGGACTGTGAGTTAGAGTTACTTAAGTCACTCTCTGGTGAAGCCTGGGCTTTGGAATTCCCCCATTCAAGCTGAGCTCTAATACAAGACTCTTACCTGTTTCTTGAACATATTGACTGAACTGAGAAGCTTGATTTATTTCCTCAGTGTGCTTTTCAAGATGAGATACCTGTGTTTAAAGAAATGTAAATTTTTTTAAGAAGTCAGTGATTTGAGTACTGCAGATAATAGTCTTCATTTTACAGTGATTTCATCTAACACATGGAGAAGTGTTAATTCAGCTATCATTTATTTTAATCAAGGAACTTGTTATAATAGAGCATATTTGAATTGATACCTAACATGTCATATTTTTCAAGTGCCTGCTTCATTTTTTTTAAAAAAAATTGATTCAAAAGTAGAGACAGAAATACTTGCATATATTGACAGTAAATACAAAATTACAGTAACATCAAATGGATATAATAAGATAGAGCATCTACTCAGCTCTGAAAACTGTTGGCAAAGTATTATTTTCTAAGAAGTTACCATTTCTGTTTCAAGACAGTCAATCCCATGTGCCTTGGAAATGTCTTCATTTTTCTTACTTTCATGACTGCTATGGATTACCTCCTGAAAGTAAGCAAGCAAACAAATAAACACATAAACGATGTCTTAAGTTTGAAAATTTCACTGGCTTATTAATTTCAACAGCAGAATATTCTGGAGAAAAAAAGTTCCTCAGTTTGCTTGGTTTCCCTGACTCCTAATTTAGTTGTTTGAAACTGTGTAGTATTATTTTACACTTCTGTAGTTCAGAAGCCGTGAATGGCACCCACTGGATGCTGATTGGCATCAGAAGTTCTGTGTTTATTGGGAAGATCTTAGGAAGAACCCATTCCCTGGCCTTTGGTGACTCTGGGCTGCACCCCTCGCTAGACTCCTGGCCCACTCTTTTTCACAGACATTTTCCCACTCTCATTTTTTTGATTCCCTTTTCCATTTTAAGAACCTTCATGATTACACTGGAGCAACTCCAACAGTCCAGGATTATTTCCCAGCCAGAAAATTAGTTGATGAGCTACTTTATTCCACCTGCAATATTAATTTCTCTTTGTAAGATAATTTAACATATTCATAAATTCCAGGGATTAGGTCCTAGACAATTTGGAGGTCATTGCTGTTCTCACCCTTACAAAGAAATAAATGTTACCAATGCAATTTGTACTTATTATGAGAAAGATAGCCCTCAAAAAAAGAAAAAACAAGTAAAATGTTCACTGTGATAGCACCTACACAGAACATGTAAATTCTTAATCATAAACCATTTTCATAAGCCTCCTTCTAATTTTTCAGAAAGATATTCTGGCATCCAGATTGGCCATCCAATATTATAACACATCCAAAATTGACTTAAATGCATAACACTGAGCTAGGGACAGTGACACTTCTCTATAATCTTAGCACTCTAGGAGTCTGAGGCAATGTTGCAAGTTAGAGCATAGCCTAGGTCCTTTAGGAGCTTAGTGAGATGATATTCTGTCTCAGAACAAAAATCAAAAAAGACTGGGAGTGTAGCTCAGCTGTAGAGCTCTACTTAGCAAATAAGAGCCTAAGGTTCCACCCCCTGTAATGGAAAAATTTTTAAAACACATTAGAAAATTGAGCATGTAGCTTAGTGAAAATGTGTTTTGGGTTCAATCTCCCGTATACCATACACATTCACTAAAAATAACCAATTATAAATTATAAGTAGCATCACTCCTTGGTGTTCTGGTTAAGATCATGTGTAGTATAAATTATAAGTAGGCCATATGGAACATATCCTGTTGTAATCATGTCGGGCCATACCATGACAGTGCTATCCTCTTGTCTTCTTATATAGGGAGTACTGGGTAATCTTGATTGTCAACTTGATTGGATAAAAGACTCCTAGGGATGTGATTGGAGGTGGTTGAATTGTGAGAGTCAACCCACTTATAAGTTCAAGATTTGAACAGGCTTTAAGAGGAAGGGCGAGGACAGAGGACAAGGTCCTGGAGCTGAGGCCTTGTGGACTTATCTGGCTCAGAGGCCTTTGGGGGCTTCTACTTCCCTTGCTCTCCGCTTCCGGGATGCCATGAGTGAGAAGTTTCCTCTGTTCTGCTGTTCACCATGGTGTGGCAGCCCTGGAGCCAGCAACCACAGGCTCACACCTCTGAGACTGTGAGATAAAATAAACCTCTCTTTTTTCAAAGTTGAAGTATCAGGTATTTTGTCTCAGCAAGGAAAAGTTTACTAAATACATGCGGTTACTTTCTTTAAGCAACACAGGTGACCCTATAAAATTAGAAAGTTGGAGGCCCTGATAATTTTGTTTATCCAGCCCTGCTATCTCTACAGAATATAATTCTTACAATATTTTGAGATGGATTGATATGACCAAGCAGTTGGCAAACAGCTTAGTATCTTATTAAAAAAATAAGCATATGGACAGTTATCTCTGTATAAGAACACGTTTGAAGTTGGAACATTACTTTTACCTTTATATCTATGTGACTGATAAAAATGAGTTTTTAAATCTGATTTTGAAATACATGTTAGCAAAGAATAATCAAGTGAGAACAGGCCATCATGACTATTGATGAAAAAAGATTATGAAAGATTTTTTACAGTGTTAAATACTTTTAAGCTATTAAATCTTAATGAAATCTAGGATAAGTATAAAATTAATTTATGAGATCCTGACTTGTATTTTTGGTACTAGATATGTAGTCTACAATTCCCCTGCCTCCAGGAATACTTGGCATGTGTATTAATCATATACCCCTCACCGGGAGCAGAGAGCTAATTTGGCTCATGCCCTTTGGGATTCAGTCTGTGCTCAACTGTCTCCAAAGAGGAAACATTGGGACAGAAGGGCATTGCAGAGTGAAGCTGCTTGGCTCATAGTGGCTGGGAAGCAGTGGAAGGGAATTCTGCCAGAGAGAATCCGGCTAGGAAACTGCACAACACCCAAGGTCACACCTCATGGCCCATCTAGACACACCCAGGAGCATGGTTAGTAACTAGCTAGGTGGTTCTTAATCCAACAGAGTGGAAAAATCATGATTAGGGTTCACAGAATACAGTGTTAGATGTCTGATTAACCAAGAAGGTTAATCAGAAGTCAATACAGTGTAATCTGATTTTATTACACTTTTCTAGAAAGGAGACTTAAGAAAAAAAAGTGAAACATTCTCTGAAAGTCTGAGAACTAAATGATAAAGGGGGCCTTCCTGTTTAAAATTTAGGATGTTTTTCACTGAATACAACTGAAGATCACTCAGCTTTTTCCAAAAAATGGTTTCCTAGTCCTAGTTAATGATCTACACATGTAGCAACATTTGACAATATTCTGGACATACTTTTTTTTTTTTTTTTTTTGCTAAGGAGTTCACATAATGAGTAATTAATGAATGTATGCTTAAAATAGAACATTTCCATTAATAAATTAATTCTATTCAAACTTCTTTGTGCCAGGAGTGTTCTAGGTGCTGGTGGTAAAACAATGAACAAAACACTTTACTTTCTCAAGAAACAGCATAAAAATAAATATCTCACATTCTTTCCTTTAAGTTCAAGTAATCAGAATTTTTCATAACAACATGCTTGCATCATCAAGCTTTAGTTAAGAAACAGTAACCTTGTACTGGAGGGAACAATTATAATTACTAAATACTGTGGATAGAAGAAAATATGCATAGGTACAAATGACAACTCCAGGTCAGTGTCAAACCTTTCCATCAGTAGAGATACAGTGAGATATTCTATGACTTTTTAGGCATCTGCTGAGAAACAGGAAGAACCTAGTGAACAGTCTGGGTATTCATTGAGGGCTATCGTGATGACCTCTATTGACTCATATCTGGCCCAGAGGCTTATATGCTAATGACAGCTGTGGCCAGCTGAAATATTTTACTTGACTCATATGGCGACTTTACAGTTTTGGGTTAGTGAACATGGACAGTATTTCCATGTTAAAAGAAATGAGTATTTCCCCCTGCTTTTAAAAAACTGAAGGTCTGACAGTACTGGCTTCATGTTCCAATGTAGCAGTATCTGGCTGAGATAGGATGGCTGGGTTTTCGGCTGAGGCATGTGCTTCTCAAGTCACCATTCCTTTCATTACCAAATATTTAACACCAAGTTGGTATTACTAATAAAAACAAACCAACCTTTCTGATACCCATGGAAATCTGAATGTCAGATACATGCTACCATGATCATACCACGAGAGTAACTGACACAGATCCCTGTGTTGAAAAAACAAATGCACAATATTTAAAGTAGAAATGTGTAAAGAAGTGTATTTTTGATGTACATTTAAAAATTTCATTTTTCTGGAGCAAAGACTTTGTAGTTAGTGTCTACCCACTGATGTAAAAGCAATTTATGCCCATCATCTCTAAATATATTCTCTTGTCCAGGTGGCATGTGGTCAGTGCTAGTGTGCATAAATTTTGCTTATAGTTGTTAGTTTTTACTTCAGCATTTATGTGCTATTACTAAATAGAACTGTAATTGCCGCACTAGTTTGGTACGTTAGCATCAATGTACCGAATTTACTGTCCCCTGCTTGCTGTAACGTATCTAAAATCTGTCTTAAAATAGTCCAAGATTTTGTTTCCATCTTTTATCTTGTCTGCCATTTTGCAACTGGTTTAATTTGGAGTTTTTCATCTGATGTTCTTCTGGAAGAAATTTTTTTGTGCCTATAGAGAATAGAGTTATGGAGAAGGATGGATCATAATGCTCCCGTTGAAATCAAATAAGTAGAAAATACTAACAAATTCTGATCAGAATACTATGCATAAATTCACATGAAATGATTCATGAAATTAGTTGTTGAAAATTAAATTCAAATATGGACCAGGCTGCAAGACACAAAATGCTTTTCACAGGTGGGATGACCAGCAGCCAGGACCGAGGCATGAGTACTAACTCCTTCCTATACTAGGTACACTGCAATCTTGGACAAATTACTAATGCACAATTAGATTCAGTGTTCTATCTCAGGCAGCAACCAAAAGAAAGAAAAGAGATAATAGTACCTATGCTGAGACTCCGAAATCTCAATCAGAAAGTGCAGCCCTGTTAATACAAAATATCATGGTATCTGCATGATTTGTATCAATCTGGTGTCAGGCCGTATATTAGCCAAATATATTATCAAAAAAAAAATCTGTTGTTGACACACATGTTCTAAGGTTTTTCTAGTACAGTAAATTACATTCTGCCTACATGGCTTGTGATTACTAGTATCCTAGGAAATTTATTGTAAGTTTTGATGAGTAGAAATGCAAATTCATTTGGAAGCAATAAGCAGAAAGACATTACTTTCAAAAAAGTGATGAGTTACTATTACTGAGACTCTTAAAAGTATAGTGAACTAAAAAACAAAAAATTATGAGAAAAGGTGAGCAGAATAGTAGATGATCGCTGTCTCAGCAGTGTGAAAAAATTACAAATTCATGCTCCATGTCAGTAATTCAGCATTTTTACTCATTACTGGTATAATTTTAATAAAGCTAAATGGTTGTACTAAAGTTATTTGCATCTTTATCAAACAAACATAAACAATACAAAAATATGCCCCAAAAGTCAATGGACTA